GATTGACGATCACAATTGTTTGGACTCTTCGATACAGTGTGTGACTGCACTTTACGATTCACTGTTAGACGCTAGTGTCCACAGTCACAGCTTCGCTGCTGTTGCATGGTAGCAGTTTCCATCACCATATGTTGCCCTTCCTCTGGGTTCTCGAACTGTTGCTGGCCTCCACTGCCATCTTCTAACAGCTCAAGTGAACCCCAGCAGTTCTCTGACTGACTACTGGCTGCTTCTGACTTGTCCTGCTTGTAACATCTCTGAACACAAAGCAAAGAAAAAACACCATACCTCTGTTGTTTGCTGGCCACTGTCTAATAACGGCCAACTGTTGTGACCCCACAATTCTTGGTTTGAGTGAGTGTGCCACAATATCTCTTCAGTTTCATCTCAAATGTGTGAAAGTTATAGGTCTCTACTTTGAATTTGAAGTATTGCACATTATTTTTATATGAAGTAGCTGCTGCCCATTTACATTCATGTACACTGCTGTGTAGTGTAACAGCTGAAACATGTGAAACTTGTTTACAAGACTCATTACAGTTTCCAAAGTCCTTGTGGTTCCTTGATTATTTTATGGACACAGAGGGTTAAGTGGCTGATACTCCACCAATTTCAGTTATATTTCCGCAATTTCCAACCACTTATAACACTGTTGCTGTGAAAGTTGTGAGGTATATTTATAAATGGATAAAAAAAATTGTTAAGTTTCACAGGTCTGGAACGTTTTTTTTTTTAATTTATTGTCGCAGGAGTTGTTAAAGAAAAATCCTGTAGGTGTGACTTTTTACCATCCCCTCTGTGGAAGTGGTTTTTTAATGGCCTGTATTTCAGAAACCACTTGACAAAAAAAAATAGATGCCAAATTTCATCCAAATCCTAGACTTGTTGTTTCACTGATCATTTTTCTTAATTACGCAGATGTATTTCAAGTGTTGGTAAAGAGTACTGTATAGGTGTACAGTATGAGCTGAAATGTAAGGTGACTCATATTTTTCCATTGACAATATTGGAAAATGTGTTTTTTTGCATGCATGCAAAATTGAGTGTGTCATGTAGTTCCGAGGGTTGTAAGCAAAAAGTGAAAACTATAAGAAATAAATTCACAGTTTATTACATTAAATATGATTTTAGGTATTTTTGCAAACATTGTTAGAATTAGAATCTTGATATCTGTTCCTAAAGAATCCAAAAATAAGGCGAATCCTCGAAGGAGCATTATTTGAAAGAATACTTTGCATTATGTTTGGCCTGATGTGGTATTTGTTAACACCTGAGCAGTAGTTAACTGTTCTAAGAGGTGCAATGAACTAGTTATGCTGGACATTTGATGTTCAAGACTTAACAGGTGATAAGAAGAATTTGCTTTGTGTGAGATTGAAATCGAATCACTTGAAGTCTAATACTGCCTTCAGTGAAATTAACCCCTTTTCTTCAATGTTGTGGAAATTTGATGTTGACCCAAATTATGTTCTAAGATTAATGTGTTTAGGTTATTTTGATATTTTATTATGAGAAAATAAGTTTTTCTACTTGATGTATTGTAGGTCTGAAATTCCTTCAGCCTGCTTCTCACTGCTAGTGCATAAATTCATAAAATATGTTCCAGTATTGCTATATGCATTAGAATTCTGAGATTATTATTTTCTAACGCGCACTGGAAGAAAGAATTGCCTCTATAGATTGAGAATTTTTTTACAGGGTCTCATGATACGTAACCGGTATTTCCTGGCTAATCCCCACATAATACACACCAATAAAAGGTCTGTATGAATGTGTGTCTGAGATAGTTGTGTTTCTGAGCTGTGGCTCACTGCGAGGACAGCAGCCTAGCTTTATGCTATTCTGAATGTATCAGAGTATCAGGTGTTCAGTATTCTGACTGTCCATCTTCACACATCTTGGCCGAGACTCAATGTACATTTTCAGAAGTCCCTCTGCTCCCCTTTTTTTTTTAACAAGAATTCTCCACATGCTGCTGTACTGTGTCCCTAAAATGGCACNGACTAAACAATTGAACTCTTGCCCCCCCCCCCAAATTGTGGTACATTGAGCATGAAGGCTGTTGAACAGGCCCGTGTTGAAAGACTACCATTTCAGACACGTACGTATAGACTTTTCATTGGTTTAGTGCGTAGAACTAGTATATTTCAGAGTTTGACAAAATCTTGTTCATCCTATCTGTAGTGTAGGATAAGTTCTATAGTTGTGAATACAAGTATACAGTTAACACTAGAAAAAATGCCCCTTAGAATCATTGAGTATATACAGGTGTTTCACTGTATATGAATTTCTTTTGAAATGCAAAATGAAGTGAGTCTGCGCCCTTAGTTTCTAGCAGATGACTAGTCTGGTGATTCCACAGTGACCAAGGCACATAGTATTTATTACAGATTTACAGATACAACATGCACAATGTTCTTTCTTTTGTATTAACTTATTACAGGTCGGCTTTTTGAGAGTTATCTTTTCAGTAAGGTAGCATAAGTCAATATGTGCTGGTACAAATATGTTACAGATTTCTTGAAAGTTGTGATTCAATTGTGGGGTGTATAAATAAGAATGAGATACCTCGTACACACTCAAACTTTACCTACTTCATTGATTGTGCAAATAGAGGTTTACATAATGTGGTGTTTTGATTTGTTGGTTAATATTATTACTGTTGAACAAAATTGAGTCTAATGCAAACTTTTTTTTCTGTTTTCTATTGAACTGCAGTGAATACATTTCCTTGTTCACATTTTTATTTGAGAGTGAGCTGAAATATCTCAGTTGCATGATAGGTGTGTGTTGCAGTCTAGTTCCCAGCAAGGGAAGCACGCCCCCCCCCCCTTTTTTGCGCCTTTCCATCACATCTAAATTTCCTCGGTCCACCCACTCTTCTCTCTAATGGGTGTGTGGGCTTTTTGCCTAAGTACCACATGATGTGAGCAAGAGGATTGTATCTTCTGATGCAGATCCTATGTGTGTATATAGCACTGAGCAGAAGCACGGGAGTGACAGCTTTTGTTCTAAGAGAAACTATACTTACCAGTGTTCTGTCTATCAACTCTTTGTGGTTTGAATTGAAGTATGTTGTCGGTACAGTTTAATTAATGATCGGTTGAGTTTTAGGCGTACTTAAATGACAAAAAGAGGGCCAAGCTGAGATGTGTGATCAAGTTTTATAAACCCTGATTCATAGTTGAGATACAAGTGCCCCATTTTAATGGGTAATGCTTGTCATTTTAATGGTTAATGTTTGTACAATAGCAATAAACACTTGCAGTTAATGTCAGCCCTTGCTGTCTTGCCAACGTATAAAGTGAACACTTATGTTGTTTTGCAGAGGATTAATGTTAGGCAAGAATGTTGATTTCCTCAGCCTCAGCATGGACTTCAGCATTGGATGTGCCTAGTGCAATCCAGTACGACTTGGTGTATTATTTTATCTTTTGTCATAACAGAGCATTTCTTTTTGGTGAATATTGAATTTGGAAGGCCATCTGTTACAATGTAGAAATGTATAAATTAAACAAATGCTGCAGGTTGTGCGACATACATAGTTAACAAGGTTTTGTGCATGCAGTTTTCATTACCAGTATTATTCAGTCTTGTTAGTATGATATGTTTATCAATTTTATATATTTTGGCATGAAGCTGCGACTATATCGAGTTTAAAGTGTCCTTATTTTAGCATGAACATACTTTGTATGTATTGTGAAAATTGCAGTGAGCTTCTTTGAAATTGTACTTTTTGTTGTAATTCATATGGAATTTTTGTTCCATGTCTGATCTACTTTATATGAAATGGCATTCTGTGATCTGTGTTGACATAAAATGGAAGCTGCTAATAGGATATTTTTGGTTATTGTAGAAATGTTTTCTGTGTTGCTTCTGTGGTACATCGTCACGTTAGTAATGTTATTTGTTGGAGTACACCGGGATGTCTTAGCTCTACCTTCATTTGGAACTGAGCATGTAAAATTGTACCAGGAAGATTTTTTTATGTTCTGCGCAAATATCATTTATTTAGACATTTTATGCATATATTAGTATAATATTGTTTATAGACAGTGAAGGAATTTTCTTCAGTGTGGAGCAGATGGTACATATTTGCATGTTTGTGAATGTGATTATTTCCTGCCAGCTGCTTGGAAATAAAATAAACATGTTGCATTAGTTCATATTCTATTCCTTATAACATTAATACATGTGTACATACAACTTACAAGATTTAGGGGGGTTATATATGCAAATTCCTGGCATGCATAAGGTTCCAAGCACTTGCAAGAACTAATCATTAGGTTGCATTTCACTCTGCAGGGTGTTACATATGTCCCTTCATATTCACTGCACGTTGCATTCAGTTCTTTACTATTAATGCTGCAGGACATACTCTTTCAGTAAAACACCTTACATTTTTGTTTTGCATGGTGTATTGGAAACAAGAAATCCTTGTAGGAGATTTTTTTTTTTGTAGAATTATGTTGTTTTTGCTTTCAGTTATTGTATTTCATTTTTAAGGATGTATTAATGATACCTTTATTTCCCATGTAACAGCAGTGAAATTTCCATTGTGTCTACATTAATTTATCTGTACTTTTTAAAATTTCAAAATTGTAGAAAATCATGCTTGGAAGTTTCATTGCCTTGTACCATTTGGAAAGGTAAGTGTTTTGACTGGTCAGCTTCACTTGTTCTGTGTTTGAGGTTGGTGTAGAGTGTATTGTGGTGGTAGTATATACTTCGTTTACTTTGTTATATAGTATATTCATTTTTATAGTTTTAGTTTAAGCATATTATTTTATGGAAATCTTTAGTCGTGGAATTGGTGTACATTGAGAGAAACAAAATTTTATACACGTAGCTAGTATTTATTTTCTGGCCTGAAATTTTTAATTTACTTTTCTCTTTTCCCGGCATGCCTTTTTGTTTTCCATTCAGGCAGTTTCCGAAAGAAAGATTTTGATTGGATTTCGTGGCTGTTAAAATTGGGTGTTTGTTGTGTGTTTTTATAGATTATGATTACGACTATTACGGGTATGGGGATTATCGAGGTGGCTACAGTGATCCATATTACGATGACTATTATCGTTACGAGGATTACTATTTCGATTATCCGCCGCCTCCACCACCTGCCAGAGGGAGGGGCAGGCAGCCTCAGCCGGTGGGTCGATCGACTTTACTAAACGTTCCAAGTCGTCTTTTCGTTCATTCGTACATTTGCTTGTTTGATAGTGGCACAGCGTTCAGAAGCCCACCTTGTTTCAAGTTTAGGACCTTGCTTGTGAATTAGACATCCTAACCAAATGAAGCTAGTGGTATCATCATAGCAAGTCATGGCCATGCAAAGATATGGGACAGTAATGCTTGATTTTCTGGAATGAGATGAGACATCTGTGGATGCTTTAATATGATACCACATCAGCAGTAAAAGGATATTTATCCTTCGGTAGTATTTATCAAGAATTTTCTGTCTTGTAACATTCTGGTTTCGTTATTGGCAGAGAATATTGGCATTATTTAAACAGCATTTCATATTTGGTTATGGTAATAGAAACCAGTTTCCATTTTAATCGAATACAATTCATTGCTTTGCATGGTCACTAAGACATGGCCAACTGACATTACTAACTTGTTGTATTGGTTGATAGAATAGCCCTTCATATAGAGCGTGTTGCCACTTTCAAACAGCTAATCAGTCATATCTGAGCCATTGATGCAGGCCTCTCAAAATTTGCTTTCCAGATAATTAGCCGGGAAAAGGTAATTTGTGAATCTAAAAGTCTTAATTATTAGGAAATATGCTAGTGTCGTGTGTGTGCCTGTATTGGCTCAGATATGATATGTGTCTTTTTTTTTTTTTTTTTGCTGTCTAGTTGCAGGGTTTGCCAAAAAATTGGGGGAGGGAACCGAGACATCAGCTGAGCACAACAGTCTTGTATCACATCAGCGACTAACTTTTCCTCACTGTTTGGAAATAAAACTATTTCTACACTGGGTAAAGATGCCCCACATACTGCAGGCATCAGTTGGAAACTATTGTTAATGGAGTTGTGTTTTTTAATGTTGAGCAGAAATGTTTCATTCTAGCATTGAACTGTAATTTGCCTTTTGTTCTTGGAATAGAATTTATTCATATTTCTTTGTATGGTGACAGCTTTAGTTAGACCAGAAATTTTATTGCATTTCATTTGATGTGAAATGTGGAACTTCATACAGGGACTTGTTTGGTGTTTGAACTTCTTTATTCACTCTTAGTTCGTAATGAGGAAAGGTTAGGTCAGAGTTAATCAATTGTGGAAACTTATTCCAATAGCATTTGAAGGCTACTCTCCTACAAGACATTTCTCTTGCTTCAGGCTTTAGTTACTGTGCTTTCTGCTTTTTGTGGCCGCTTTTTAGAAGCTTACTGCTTTTAGCTGGGCGCAAGTAGATGCTTTGGCTTCCTCACCCAACAATCCCAACCATATGCAAATTGCTCATTTTGGATAACCCTGCTCTGTGCTCTTAAATAAGGTACAAACATTGTAAGAGCTTGATTTTGACCAAATGCCAGCAACACGTACCGTGTTAAATATACATTGTGTGAGTTTGCTGTTTTGAAGTATAGGTTTGACATTGAACACAAATAATTGTACTGTAGTTACAAAGTGATAAGGTTTAAATTGCCAAGATTTTATTTTTATTCTTGGTATGTATTGGTGGTATTTGATGGGCAAGGAAAATGTTGATTTTTATTCCACATCTTTCGTCATTCACATAGTTCTTGTTTTCAGTTTGTTAGCAGTTGGCATTCAGCTGCTGTTTGCTTCAATAAAATATTTATAATGATGAAGATGTTAGGAGAAAATGTGTTTTTTTATTCACAACCTGTGTTAACTCTTGGGCACTTAGGATCCAGAAGAAGTTGGGTTCATGGAAGCAAGCTCCCCAAACTACAGCATGAGCGGTGGGATTCAGGTTTGTGCTTGTAATTCCCGCCTACTCAAGGCTTTCCACTTCATAGATTGCTTATTCTTAAATCCTAATTGACTTCAGTTTGTCTTATGATCTTGTTTTTAGGAATAACAGCTACCGCTTTTTAAGGCTTTTGTTTTGAAATGTGAAATTTCTGTTCCAACAAGAACATAAGATGCAGATTGGATTCCAAGAATGTGCACTATGAACTGGGGAGTTGATAGTTTTCATATTCTGGAGTATATATATTTATAATCCATTTCATTATGTAAAACAGTGGGTTGTGTTTCTGTGAAGCTGGAATGGATTCAAGTAGTAATTTAATTCAGGTTTCTCCATTCTGGAAATAACAGTTGACCTACAAGCTGCAATTGTTTTTACATAATTGTTGTCAGCCCTTTTGCAAGGAGTTGGCTTTTGTGTATATTGCTATGAAAAAGTACGGGTGGGCCATGTTTTCTAATTATGTGCGACATGTTGTTTGGTCAGGCTGGTCGTGGGCGTGGAGTGGTGGCTCGTGGCCGGGCCGGTGGGCCCCCAGCCCGTGGGGGAGCCAGGGGGGCACGCACCGCAGCCTCCGTGGCCCGTGGGGGGGGTCGAGCACCCGTGCGTGGGGGGGCCCGCGCCAAGGGAAGTTTACCAGGTGAGGATGGTCTGTATCTTCACCTCCTTTCACTCACCTCTTTAGCATGTAGCAAAAGCGATACAACCTTGAGATCGGATTGGTGATAAGTGGTGTGTAGTTGAGGTGGTGTAATATTCTGGTCTGTAAAGTGGGTGCAGGAAAAATATATTGTTGAATATGATGGAAAGGGTGTTTTGCTGCACCAGATCAGACAATGCCACTTTGTTTAGAATGGACTTATTCACTACATGTATGATGAGTGTATATAATTGAGATTCACTGGATGAGTTGTGTGAAGGATAAATTATGAACAGAACACTTGCCAAATGTGGACCAACAGAATGTGGGAAAACACCTCCCTCTCTAAGGAGGTGGCTTATATTTATTATATCTGGGCTTTATCAAGATTGCATTGTTGTGGATTTGAAATTACAGTTAATGTTGCTATATAATGGTTGGGGATAGCATGAGTGAAGATACTGTCTCATTGTGTATATATTCCGGATTGTAATTCATTGGATACATAAATTCTGAACAAAAAAATGACAAGGTAGTTTGCTTTCCCCTTGTATGGTTGAACATTTCATTTTTCCACAACTGGGAAAAAATGAGGTTGAAGTTACACAAGAGGTGCACTGCCCAAGTTGACAACTTTGTTAAAACTGCTGTACATGGAAAGGATATAGATTGTTGGACTAGGCGTAGCACTAGACTTGTTGAGAGCATTGAAACATTAAGATTATGACAGCTGTTGAAATGTTGAACATGGCTGAAAGAGAATGCTGTTTTGCAAGATGTGCATATAATGCAAATTCTAAGCGCATGTTATAGTTGGTTTTATTTCACACAGCTATATAGCATTTTAATGTAACACTTCCAAACACGAAACATATTTTGTGGATAGTGTTGTCATGATAGTTTATGATTGTCATTAAAACAAGGTGATGGCATTGAATTTGAATGAATCCTTCATTTATGTGTATAATTGCAGTTTGGTATTTAGATTCATACCGTGAAATGGTGTGAGTTTTGGGATAAGAGTTCTGCACCAGTGAAGTACTCTTAATATTGGCTGTATTTTGTGATGCTTTGATGTAAATCTCTGCTTAGTTTCCAGGGCTTATGAATAAGCTTTTTGGTAGCAATTCTGAAATCACACACAATAAGTTTGTGCACGTTCAGTTCAAATCCAAAACATGCAAGCCATCGTTGTTTTGCAGTTTGTATTGTTTAACAATACAGATAATTCCCACATGTTTTAATGGCCTGTATTTTGGTAAATATTCTGTTGTTACCCTTATGGTATTCACCACTTATCAGTTTGGTATTCAGATATCAGTTTATTGGAAATTTAATTGCATAGTTGAGGTTGTGTCGCTTATAGGGTTTGTACCTTTTGTGAAGGGGCCTGTGACAGGCACTGTGCATGATAAGGACCAAAAAAATTAGTTGTTTTGTCACATCACATATTTTTATTTTATACTTTCCGTGGATTGGTTACATTTTCTGAGTGCCTTGGTTTTTTTGCGCTGTAATTTTTTCTTTGGCTTGTCAGGCAGGAAGTGCTAAAATGTGGAATTATCATGTGCAGTCATAACACTGGCTGAAATTGTCATGCTGTGCCCTTCTTTTTGTTTGTTTATGTGTGAAATCTGCAAGTAAGATATGGTCATTGAAAATTTATGATATTCCTATGGTTTGTATGGGACACTATAATGCCTATGTACAAGACCAACTAACCTTTATGTGAGCTTAACAAATTAGCATAATGTGCTGTTTAGCTTACAAATTGGTATGATGTTATGCATTATAATGTACTTTGTGTCCAGTTATGTTGGTAATATTTCAGATGCCACTGATAATTTCCCTGATTTATGATAATTCTTTGTGAACTTAAGAACATACATGCATGGGCACTGGGAGGTAGAATAGCGGGCAAGGCTTCCCCCTCCCCTGCATACTTTTTCCTTTTTTTTTTAGAAGAAATGAAAATTTAAATAAGATATTCCAAGTATTAATACCAAAAAAAGCACTGAAAATATTCTTCTGAATTTTGTAGGGCAATCGGTAAAAATTGTTTTAAGCAGCATAACATCAATTTGTAAGCACATTTTTTGCCCCTGGCCCCAAGAACATCTTGATGTCCTCCATTGCAGAGGGAATTACCCCACAGATGATAGGGTAGTCAGAAAGGAACATACTGGACTTTTCTAGAAGTGGGCTCAGATATTGCAGATGTTATATGCCTGAAACATATTCGGTGTAACATTAGTTCTGTCACTGTATTGTCAGAGTGGAGTATTTCTCACACCTGGTAAGCTTCCATTTTTAAGAAATGGAGGAAAGTATTATGTTCGGAAATTGGACATAGGAATATGCACTTTCAAGGGGGGCTGTCAAATATCCATGAGCATGAATGCAGTGAAAATAAAGTCAGTGGTACTTATTACATGTTACAAAGTATGGTATGTAAATCACCAAAAGGAGTTGTATTTTAGTGTTTCGTAACTCTGGGTGTAAGCTGTAAATGTGGTTTCTTTGTTTGCTAACAGATTTTTCTTACATTTGACAAATGTTTGTTAATTGCCAGTTCTGGATATGAATTTTTTTCTGTTTCTTGAAGTTGCAGATTGCTAGGTCAGGGTTTGCAGTCTGCAGCAAGGAGATCATTTGAAAGTAAATTTTCGTGTTTTTTTTTTTTTTTGTTCATGTGTTACTTTCTGATATCCCTTAAATACACATGATCTGGCAAATCGTTGCAAGCCACAATATTAATAACACTGTCTAGGTTTCATGAGAGGCATTTATTTGTAAGTGGGCTGTTGCAGGAAGACTACAATGATGTGTATGTGCAACTATTTGTCCCCCATCCCATTCAGCGTGTAGAATTGTTAAACGAGTGCCTGTGGATTGTTTTGGGAATACTGCTTCAGTTAACTGTTACATTTGTAATTCTTACTGCTTGCATTAATTTTGGGGGACATGTACATAGCTTGTGTGCTGTTTTCAGGTTCTTAGCTCAGCTGTTCTGAGTTAATAAAGTTCCCTACAGTTACAAATATGTGCAGGGGCTAAATTTATGATACATGTTTTAGAACTACAAATGAGAGGATTAGGTTTCAGTTACATGAAGTTTGATTTTTAATGATTGGTGTTTTATATATGGTGCATATCTGTAAGGCAAGTTTTTATATTGGCTTTGAGAAATGGTAGCAGGTGAAGTTTGGCTATACTTGAGATAGATTTGAAGCGTAACATTTTGCTGAGCTCAAACAATTTCCATGCTATGGTTTTTTCATAGCATTCAGATTGTTTTAAATATCCAGGAGTTTCAAATGTTTAACCATTGGAACAGTAATTGCAATCTACCTGGTTTAAATTTGTGTTTTTATTTGTACCATATAAGAGATGTGTAATGTGAGTGCAGCTGTATAACAAAATTGGGCTCTATAATCTTACCAGTACAGTGGATTCTGTGTTAAGAAGGGATCCCCTTCATTCATTTGGTGTGCATGTAAATGTGTATTTTTTGGGCTTCTTTGTTTGTGGGGTGAGAAGTGGTATGGGGAAGAGTAAATAATCAGATAAACTTTTGATTATTGAATCATAAAATTAAGAGGACTGTGTTGAAATGCAAATTTAGTTTGTTCTAAAAGTTCGTGATATTAATAGAGTTACTGTGTTTCTGGACATCATCTAGCATCCTGTTTTCTTATTTAAAGCATTTTGGAGACTAGGTTCTGTTATCTCGAGGTGATTGCTCATCCCAGTTGATAGAGTTAGTCCCTATCTCTGGACACCAGCACAAACCGTCTGTGAGAGTTAAGACATGCTAGGCATTGTGTGTCTTAACTCATGGATGGTTTATGCTGAGCATGGCTTGTATACCCTTTGTGCTGGTGTCTAGAGATAAAACTAGATCCAGCAATTGGTCCCAACTGAGTAGACTGTCGCCTGAAGATGGAGACAGAATCCGATCTCTGATATTTTGTTTTAAATAAAAGACCAGACAGTGTATAATGTTAAGAAATACTATAATTGTAAATCTAGTTTGGGCTGGTTCAATGATGGTTGTAATTGTTTTTTCCTATTGGTCTGTTAATGTTGTGGAAAGTGAATTTTTTTTTTGTGTTCTGTGATTTGCAAATTTTAGACAGTTGCAGAGCATGGAAATAGTTGCACTAAAAAAAATATATATATATTATGCATTATGCTGATATCCATCTGATAGGTGTAGATATTGTCATATGATGAAAAATTGTAATTAGAATATGGTTCTCTAACATGAATCTGATACTGCATGGCATGTTTGTATATGTGTTTTTACTAGTTGTGATGCAGTTACGTTGACATCTAAGAAAGTATAAATCATGTTACAGTTTTTCAAGGTTTTGGATAATTTGTAGAAAGTATATTCTCATGTGTCATCCTTTGAGTGTGTAGCATTTCTGATGACCAGGAGAGATTAGTGTGGGTTTGGTTTGACTAATGATTCACATGATACCGTCCTGTGTTTGCAGCAGGTAAACGCAAGTTTGACGGTGGTCACCAGAACCAGGGGGAATCTAAACGTCGCTACCAGAGCAGCTGGGGGAATCAGCCCCTCGCCCAACAGCCGCTGGGCAATGCGTATGGGCTAGCAGGCATGAATGGCGGCGGCTACAATTCGGGCGGGGACCAGCAGTGGTACCAGGACACATACCAGTCCTGGAGCTAAATACCAGTGGGTGGCTTGCTAGGCTTGTTGGAACACTTGGGCCCGGGCCCATTGTGAGGAGCCGTGTGGACTTAAGAAACCTGATGCTGAATTAGAAGTGAATGGGAGGGGTAAAATGACCATTGATCCAATGAGCCCTTTCACTTTTAGAGGCTGATGGTCATTATCCTCGTAAAGTGGTAATGTTGTACAGAGACAGTTTCATTCGTTTAATGTGTCCGGGTTTTTGAACGGGCCCAGGAACGTGAGAGGGATTTATTCCTTCTGGCTGTCTTGGTCTTGTTTGGTGACAATGAGTGGAAGAAAAGATGGTGATTGTTGCTCAGAAGTGATGATAAAAACCCACTTGTACATTACAGCTAAACATGGTCTCCCTTTTTAAGTTTTTGATAAATAGATTTGTTCCCTTTCTTTGTTGATTGCTTGTGTCCTATTGACTGTTTTTACACGAGCATTGTTGTCTTTCCAGCACAACCTTCAAAATTCCATAACCAAACTCTTTGCCATTTGGTTACAGAAAGAAAACAAATCTCTTATGTGATCAAACATTTGGTCTAAAGATTAACCAAGTGATTCCATGGGTTTTATGTATTTGCCTGCATTGTCTATTTGTTTTGTTATAGGATCTGTATATTCCTTGGTTGTTTTTTTTACTGCTCCCCCATCAACCCCCCCCCCTAGTTCTGGAGACATTACATCTTAAGGGGGAAATTTCTAAATCGTCAGCTGCAGTATCTAAATCCCACTATGAGTGGGCCCCTTGTTTATTTCATTCAAACATTTTGACTTTTTTTTTTTTTTTTTGAAGCAAGCAAGGCATGGTTACTGGACTCTTGGGATATATATTTAAATTTTGGTTCAAGGTTTAGACATGGGTTTCTTTAAACCTGTAGAAACCTTCCACTTTTAGTTTTGTGTTTTTAAGTTTTTTTTAAATGTCTTCAAATTTGTTAATGTATAGTGTAATCGCCAGTAAATTACAGTTTATCTGAAAGTGTGCAAAGTAGACTGAAGTGTGTCCATACCAATTGCAGTCTTTTTTTAACGAAGTGCTATGTATGACATCAGTGGATTATGAAGTGGGTTTTTTTGGCTAGGGAGCAAATTAAGCTCTGGTATTTGTACGAGGAATGATTGATTAGTTCAAACTCACGTTCTTGATGGTATAGCAATAATTTTACATGGAAATATAAGAACTAATTAATAATTGGTATTTGTTTGTTGGTTGATGTTGAAAAGCCATGAGAGCAGCAAGAAGGAAAGAAAATAAGAACATATTTGGAAACTTGCTATACCTCAAGAACATTTTTGTGACCATGGGAAGGGTTTGTTCATGTTCATATGGAGTGGTCATGTCCTATTCCACTTGAATCAAGGGTATGTTACTCTTGGTCCAGGTGAATTTTTTTTAAATATATATATAAATATATAATGTATTCCTGCTGCTATGTGAAACATTGTGATGTGGATGTTTTAGCAGTATATTCTGAGGAGTGCTCACTTGCCATTTTTGCAACTGAGAGTAGCTCCATAACTTCAGCATTTTTTTACATCTTAAAAATCTCGTACTGTTATAAATTATGTTGTCCATTTTTTATTCCACATGTGCTTTGCTTGGTTTTCAATTTTCTGCATTTTTTTCCCCACATTTGAATATCTGCTATCAATTATTTAGTGTGATGTAGGTTGAAGATACGAATTTAAAAGACCGTTGACAGATTATGTTTTCCGGGCCAGAAGTTTCGATTTAATATGTCCAGAATTTTGTGAATGACCCGATGTAATGACTATCATGTCACAATAAACAGTTGTATGTGAATTAGTATTGCAAGTTTACTGGATTTATTTTCCTCTCCCCTTACATTTTTTTTATTGTGAAATGCTTATGGTGTCAAGAGGGAACTTGTTTGGGGTGGCAGTTTTCCTATGGAGTGCAGGTGTTAAGTTAACCATTTAAAATTAGACTGAGGAACACTTAAGTGGAGCATTCATTGTACTGTCTGTGGTAGAATATCATCTTAACTGGAATGCATGAGAGTTGATAGAATATTGTGAAGTGACTTTGAGTGGTGAGCAAAATCACAAGGAAATGGCACCAGTTAATGCACTCATGAAATTCACAGCATTTTGCTGCTGTAAAATGAGGTGTGTTAGTAACAGCAGGTAAGGCTTTGTGATTTGGTTTTTCAGATTGTACTTTTGAATATGGTGCATGTTTTGAATGTAGTGAGAAAAGGATGTGGCAGTGCTGCTACAGAACACTGGAAGGTGGTTTAAATTGCGTTTTTTTTTTTCCTGCCATGTGTGGGAATGTTTGCAATTTGCTGGAAATATGTCCTGGTGTAGGAATTAGGACCATAATGAATGAAGAGAGGATGAACCAGTGACCATGACATGTAATTTGTATAAAAGTGGTTATAAAATGATTTCTTTGTATACTGTCATGCTGAAACGTAAAGTGTGGAGGCAACTGCTCCAGCAGTAGAAAGAGATTTAATTTAAACAAGCAAGGAATAAACTGATCAACTCTATGAAGTGACAGAGATTGGGCTTTTCTATATCAAGAATGAGATGACTACCTTAAAGTATGCATTTTAATCCTCAACCAAATGGCATAGTTGAAAACCTGCAAAGCTCAATGAGTTAATAAAGAACTGACTGTAACTATCATTGTAATATTTGTACAGCATTGGCCAGGGATAATGGTTAAAAGTCTCAGAATATGTTGCATATCTAAGTGCCATGGGAAAATGTGGAGGTGACTTCATAAGAAAGATGAAAGTTGGTATGGCTGAATTTGCAGGAAATTGAATCCAATTCAGATGGGTAGCAGGACAATATTTGTTCATGAATCCTCTGGGTAGTGGTTTCCCAGAATGTCTTAGGTTAAAATTCTGTGAGTTATTTGCAACAAAATTATGCATTCATCACAAAAATGTTGTCTTTTTTTTTTTTCGAGTAGTTTGTTGATGTAATCAACGTTATTCTCTGTGAGGATTTTATAGCAGATGAGGTTTAATATGACTTTTCTGTTGAAAAGATGCTCTGAAGAATGGGGTGAAATTTTGGCAAACATTTTTGTTGTTTCTGCTTCTGAAATAAGAACTGACAAAGCAAACTTAAGGGAAGTGGAATGCTCATAATAAACTGACTGAATCATTCTGTCAGTAGTATTTTGAATCTCTCAACTCATGGAGCTGAGCCCTTTTTGAGAAGCTGCCAGTTGTGCAGCTCCCCAACATTTTATAGAACTCGAAGGATCATTACAAGTTCAGAAGAGCGCTCCACTGGTCCTATCCTGAGCCAGATCAGTCGAATCCAAATCGTTCCATCCTGTATCTCTAAGATCCATTTTAACATTGTCCACCCACTTACGTCTTGGTCTTTGCAGTGGTCTCCTTCCTTCCAGCTTTCCCACCAATCTCCTATATGCATTCCTCCTTTCCCCCATTCGCGCTACATGCCATGACCATCTCATCCTCCTTGACTCAGTGATTCTAATTTTATTTGGAGAAGAGTACAAGTTATTAAGCTCCTCATTATGCACTTTTCTACATCATCCTGTCACTTCATCTCTCTTTGGTCCAAATATTCTAAACACCCTCAGTCTATATTCCTCCCTTAAAGTCAGAATCCAAGTTTGGCACCCATACAGAACCACAGGCAAAATTATAGTTTTGTATATTCAAATTTTTATGTTTTTAGACAGCAGATGTGAAGTCAAAAGGTTATGGACTGAATGGTAGCAAGCATTACCTGAATTCAGCCTCCTCTTAATTTCCTCCTGATTCAGTATTTGATTTATTATAGTCATTCCCAAATATCTGAACTGTGCCACATTTTCAGAACATATATTTTCATCATTTTGCCATACATTTTCATGATTGAGAAAGCAGCATATGCTTGGTTTTCTCTGTGTTTACTTCTAGACCAACCTCCTTACCAGCATCAAAGTTTGTTTTTTTCTCTTTATGGTATCTATATCATCAGCCAGTAGATTGACATTAGCATAGACCAACAGCTGATGTGTCCCATTTAATTTCAGTCCCACCTGGTTTCTTGGACTACCCTAATGGCATATTCTAAAGCAGTGGTGATAAATCATCTCTGTTTTAGACCATTCTGGATAGGAAATTTATCAGACAAATGTTACCTATATGGACTTTACCATACGTTTCGTTTAAACACATTTTAGTCAGCCTGACTAGTTTCATGAGGACAGTTCAGGTACCCATAGGAAGGGGAAGCTGCTACCAAGCAGTGAAGTGAAGACAGTGACTGAGAACACTTAGTATGTATGTGATAGTGATTTGTAAAGTGTAGTCATGAGTTGTTTGAGAGTTCTGTAAATTGAATTACCAATCCAAACCTTGTCTATAGTCACTCGCTTGTATGACAATATAGTGAAAGGAAAGTAAGTGATCAGAACTTCCTGTATTACAATTTATCTTTATTGATGGGATCTCTGGAAGAGTGTATACATATTTCCTTTTTCAGAAATTTCCAGACTGCCTTTAGTTTTTTATTTGACTCCAATATTTGTTTATTATAATACCAATGTTTGGTTTGTTTTAATGACTTTAGTTAAAACATTGCAGTAATTCCTGTAGCAAATTCTCATCAGGATTACACAAAATTGACTATTTAGGTAAAGTTCTCATGTTTGTAAGATGTGTTCATACCTTTTGATATCCAATCATTTTTAGATGCCCTTTTTTGGTAAAAAAACTTGCTTAAAATAAATAATAAAATCAAAAATACACTCCAGTCTTTTAATATTTGCATTATAATTACATTATTCCCAGCTGTGTGTTCTTTGTCTCCCCATGTAAATCACGTTTCTGAACTTTCATTTAATTCTCCTATTGTGGTCTTTCAAGGAAGTTTTAACTTTTGTACATTGTTACATTGTGTGGATCTATACATCCACTCCACCATACACCTTCATGTTGTAGTGCTCAATTAGTTAAGTGCAGGGACAACTTTACCTTACAATGTGACATTGACAAGGAATGCAGTAATGTCCCATACAAAAAATGGGTTCTTGTTTTTATTATAAGAAAATGTTAGTTTTTGTACAGCTGATGATGTTTCTGGATTCCTTGACCCAAATTCATCTTGTTTTTATGACTCTGAATTTCCTGTTTCCATTTATTGATCTGTACCAAATAACCATGTTGAAGAGTCTGAAGACATGGAGACCACATTAGCTTTCTGTTTTAACTGTGTTGTAGTTGAGGCACCAAGAATCCCTTTCAAGTGCTTTAGTCTTGCTTTCATTTGTTAGGGCCCACACTGTCCATGCAATAGCTCAGGCAGTTAGCCAGTCACTGCTTAACATGAAGGCCTGAATTCAGTCCTTGTGGAATTTGTGGTGATCAAGTGCTCCAAGTTTTACCATGCCAATTATTATTTCACAGATTCTCCATACTCATCTACCATCAAGGGCTAGTACAACAGACCTATTTGATGCTGCAGTGCCGAAGGACTGTAATCCCACTGCAACTAAACAATATCTGGGGCTCATACTTCTGACCCATGTGTTAAAATATTTAACACTGTTAACACCTATAGGATCTCATTTCCATTGAGAGTTCATCTCTCATGATTGGGTATTTATCAGTATTTGGTTGTACCATCTGATCCAAGCTCAAACCCTGGTCGGGACCAAACATACTGCAGAAGTCGTTCCTCCATCAGAATTTGTACCTTGCTTTATCAGATTATCATGAAGATCTTGGATTCAGCATCTTGTTTGCTACATTTTGGTCGACATTTCTCCTTAAACACCAGGTTAGGGTATGCAGGTGATGAAACTTCAACACAGACTGTGAGAAACAGTGTAATTTTATTAGTTGCTATGACAGATTCTTCAGTAACAGATCCTGAAAGTTCTACACTACTCTCTTCCTGTATTTGCTGAATAGAATCAAGTTAATGACCTGTCTATTTAAAAAAAAAAAAGCAAATTTATCACTGTAGTTCATAATGTAACTAAGTGACATGCCATGGAGGCATGTGGAGAAGTGGAGGTACAGCTCCAACATTCTTGATTTCAGCACTAGATAGAAGAGAGTGGTCAGCTTCATGCTTCTGACATTTTACTCCTGGGTAAACAGCATCTGGTACCCACTTAATAGGAGGCTGCATGTGCTTCACAGTCAGTCTGGAGGCTATGGAGAAGAGAAATATCTCTTGCCACTCCTGGGAATTGAACCTCCATCATGCAGCCTAGCCTGAGTTTTAGGATGCATTTTAATATCCTAGCATCTCCACCCTGGTCTTATGCATAATTGCTGTGATCATGTTTCATCCCCTTCTATGATATACAGTATGTTGATCCCTTCCCAACAGGTCCTTACTAACACAGTACAATCATATTTCTCACACTCTTATGAATTTTAGGATTAAGGTTGTTCTCAGTATCATTAGGATAATTGCAGCAAAGTTGTTTCAGTTGGCTGAATAAGCAGCTCAACATATGAAGCATGTGCATAAGTGTGAACAAAAATTGTATTCATGTCATGAAGAATGATCAGTGTCAGGTTTTAAAAAGGCACATAATTTTCACTGCTGCTGAAAAGGCTCATCTTGACCAAGATATATTAAATTGTTATTTTTTTAATGGGTGCATCCTGTTGTGTTAATTGTATAAAATTCTTTATTAGAATCTGTCATAACACAACAACGAAACAGTTAATGTTCAGTAGTATTTAGCTACATGTAACTAAATACTATTGAACATTAACTGTTTTGTTGTTGTGTTATGACAGATTCTAATAAAGAATTTTGTATAAATTGTTATTATTCAGCAGTATCCCTCTTGTTGTCTGATAGTTATTCAAGAAAATATATACAATTTTGACAGTTATATCCAAAATGTTAGGCAAAGTGTCTGTGTAATGTACACATATAAGGTTTTTGATGTTTGATATCAGCTGCATTACTTTAGTGGTTATTGTTCATACTGTGTGTTCAAAAGAACCCCTGTTAGAATCATGATACAGCAACCAGCTATGATGACTGAATTATTTGATTTTATCACCAGCTAAGTGTGGGAGAATACTTTGAAATAACCCACCACAGATTTACAGCCATCCTACAATTTAGTGTTATATAATCCATGAAGTTTATGAAGGTTCATTAAATAAGCAGACTTCTTTATGTTAGTCATGACCATAATTTGAACAGCAGGGATTGTGTTTGTTATAAACATAAGCAGGACATTTCTTCGGGAAGGGGTTTGGAAAGAAGGCACTATGGTAAGGGGGTGCTGGAGGTCTTTGCTTCAAGCTAAAATGTTGTGTCATTCTGTATTATTCAGAAGGATCTGATCAAATTATAAGTTACATATTCAGATTTCAAACTCATGGTGATGACTGTTAAGATTATGATGTTCTAGGATGTGATGCTGTGTACTAGTTTGGATGATAAGTACCAATGTTTTAAAGGAGCCTGCTGATCTTCAGCCCTGAAAATTAAGGCAGTAGGTACCTCTGGAACATTTGTATATATCTACAATATTACATGTTGTCACATTCTAAAAGACTTTACTCATAAAATTATTTAGACATCACAGGCAATTCTAGGTACATATAAGATCTAAAAGTTTGTGTTGATGGTAAATTGTTACAATTAATATGTTGCTGGACATTATCCAGCATCTTGTCTGTTCTCAAAAAACCGTCTAGTTTCTATTAAAAACACAACGTTTCGGGAACTGGAATCTGTCCCCGTCTTCAGGTAAAACCTACTCAGTTGGGTCCAATAGACAGAGCTAGCCCCTATCTCAGGACAACTATGCTAAGCATAGCATGAAGCAGGGTCCAGAACTGACCACCAAAGTGTACAGAAAGCCTACTCATACTGGTCGTTATCTTCACTTCAAGTCCAGTCACCCACACCACGTAAAAATGGGAGTTGTTCATAGTTTGGTCAACAGAGCGAAGGTCATATGTCAAAACCAGAAGGATTTTAGTAAAGAAATCAGAAACATAAGACATATGATGCTCAGTGAATATCCTAAAGCAGTGTTTCCCAACCTTTTTGATGCCGCGGACCCCCTGGAGCGAATGTTAATTGACCACGGCCCCCATAAAACCCCAAATGGATTTTTTTTTTTTATATTTTACATATCATGAAAGTGAAGCAGTAAGTAACTTACAATTTTAGAACACTAAATGTGTCATTTATGACAATAAAATACTGTTATAAATGGAGCTTATTCGGAAGATCACGAACATATCAATTAGGCCTAATATTATGAATTTAACGCTCACCTAATCAACGATCCACACTTTAACCACCGATCCATATCTAAATAAGATCGTGAACAAACTGAAAATCAGAAGTTTCGTTGTGAACTCAATTATTTGAACAAGAGCAGAAAAACTGAATATTAAACCGAGAAAAACACACTCATATAATAATATAAAAATTCACTGCACAAAAACTAAAGACACACGGGTTGTTCACTCTGCCACTGAGATGAATAAGAAACGTGGTCAATGGTCCCAGCTTCATTCCCAACCAAAGGGGGATGGATTTTGTGGGGAGGAGGGGGAGACTGGTCAGACAGCAGGTAAGAAGGACAACAGTCCGCCCTGAAACACGGGTCTGAGATGCAATGGGCCGGCCAAAAGAAAATGTCCTTGGAAAACGCTACACAGATCGTTGGTTATTCATCTCTGCTTTACAAAGGGAAGGTACCATTACGGTACCAACAGTCCCGTTAAATTTTACTTCAACCATGGGCCTCAAGAGCCAGACATATACATTGCAAATATCCCAGGTGGGAGGAACATGATAAGATAAAGTTTAATGAAAATAAGCTATCCCGCGGACCCCTTTTGAATTACTCGCGGACCACAGGTTGGGAACCACTGTCCTAAAGAATTCGTGAACTCTGTATTGAAGCCATCGACAAGAAATCGTCCCTCTTCAGACACAACATACCGGGGCACTGTAATCATTCCGTATGTCAAGGGTATTGCCAAGAAATTCAGACGCATTGGGAACCGTTTTCAGCTTAGAACAATCTTCAAAACGAAACATACACTCTGGGGGACATTAATGAAAACTGGACCCAGTAGAGATGCCCAGAAAACGAAGCAGTGTGTGTATAGCATCCCTTGTGACTGCGGCAGAAACTAGCAGACCCCTAGAAGTACGCATTAAGGAGCACAAATGTAATATGACACAGGGTTTGCTGGAAAAGTCTAAATTGGCCCAACATGCATACGAGAAAGATCACAAAATTCGTTGGAATGAAGCAAAGATCTTGCAGATCGAACCCAACACCACATACAGAAGATACAAGGAATCATCCCACATGTCTCTGCTGGACCATCCAATTAGTCAATCCAGTGTGGATATCTCTCCCATCTGGGCCCCTGTCATCACAGCAGAAATCAAGAGACTACAGCGACGTCAAGTGTAGTTGGTTTGGGTAACTATTTGTTCATATGTTGGTACCACAAGGAGTATTGCTTCTCTCCCGGTATGATTTCATTCTAGATATTTCTCTGGTGCTAAGCCTCAAATATGATAGCTTCAATATTTCTTAGCTCTCACAGATGGATTATGTTGTGCCTGTTTTATGAACCCCTTCTGAAACTGGCATAGTTGTCCGGAGATAGGGGCTAGCTCTGTCTATTGGACCCAACTGAGTAGGTTTTACCTGAAGACGGGGACAGATTCCAGTTCCCGAAACGTTGTGTTTTTAATAGAAACTAGAGGTTTTTTGAGAACAGACAAGATGATGGATAATGTCCAGCAACATATTAATTGTAATCTAGGTACATACCTTGTTGGGGACTCTGGGTCTTTGACCCAGGCCAAATGACCTGCAAAGGCAGTGGGTCTCTTGGAGATGAGATCTCCACATCGCAATCTGAGGATGTGTTCTGAAGACCTGTAAGAAAACAAACATAATTATGGTTGCAGCAGTGTGTTAGTTTAATGGCAGAATATAGACTAGACAAATATACCTTTCCCCATTATGGGCTGATGTATTTCTCTTTGGTCCCAATCTGGACAAATTCTATGATGCACTCAGCTTCATGTCCTGTCAGTACCAGGGGCTCTTCTTTACCATGGGGTTAGGTTGCTGAGGAATGAATCTCGGTAAGGCCTATATCTGCAGCAGTTGTAAGCTAAAAATATGTTTAACTTTACCTGTGTGCCTCCTACATGCCTTTGTGGTGTAGTGTTTAGACACGGAGTTTGGATTACAATGTTTATCCATAAAAATGGTTCATTCCAGAAACAATTTGGTACCATTAGTTTTATCTATAAACTTGATTAGTTTAGAGCAGGCATGTCCAACTTCAAACAGGTTGTGATCGACTTTTTAGTGTCAAAACTGCCAGTGATCTACCACTCCCTCCTATCGTCATACCTCGCTTTAAGCAAAAATATTGGTGAAAATAACACACATATGATGTTTGTTGTAAAAGCAACTAGTAACTGGCCTGTGTCTCTTGTGTCTGTAGATCCATCCAGTTATGGGGAGAAAGCAACACAATTGGAAACATCTTTCAACAACTGTTCAGTTATGTTTCCACACATCATTTCTATTTGCCGCACAGTGGTGTTTCTTGATAATTAAAGATCTTGAATAGTGTCTATGATTTCTTTCTTATTTTATATTACAAGTGAATTTACATGCTTTTCACATATAATGTCCTTATAGGCCTATGAGATTGACCAAAAATCATCCCGCGATCAATGCGTTAAGACATGCCTGATTTAGAGAACAAATTACAGATAAATTACAATTTTTTTATCCACTCATCATCATTCAGAACACTATATTGAATCATACCGTTGGTGAAAGCTTTTTAATACTTGTTTCTTTGTATTTTATACCTGCTCCTTTTTGGGGAGATGGATGTAAGGTTTCTAGGGTTTCAAAAACTGATGAACAAATCTTCCAACTGTGAGTTGGAGTCTATTCTGAGATTACTGAACTCACTTTGCATTTCATCTCGCTTCTTTAGATGACTGATGCATTTCCACATGATGAGGAGCAACACAACTGTCACCAGGATGACCACACAACCAGCTGTGACCCAATTCCTGCAATGTTAAAAGGACTATGCAAAGCAAGGATTGACAAATTCTTCTAGTCTGATGCTCTTCTTCTGATGCTCCCTCAGTTTGAATATAAATGTCTGAGGCCCTCTGAGTTATAAAAATCGTATTAAATGTCATTTAGTTGTTTAAAAGAATACTTTCTAATGAACCCCAGTGATATCATGAAGTATTTTCTTTACCAAATTTTATGTTGTAACTTAATATGGGCTTTTATGACCAATGTTAATGCAGTGTCCTTGCTGTCCGCCTATGATTTGTTTTCTCCAAAAGTGAGATTTACGGTCCGACGATGGGGGGAAGATTTCATTGTTTGCAAATGACAATGAAAATTAGTGACTGATCACGCTCTAGGGGAGCGGGGAGGGAACAGAACCCAGAACCTTGACATTACTGTACCTCTCGTATACGCGTTGTACACACTCACACCAGCTTGGGCTTGGATTCTTTCTTTGGTTCTGTTTACAGGCTGTCATTTTGCGTTCTCTCTTTGTTATTGCTGTTTAGAAAGGGAGATGTGCAATGTTGGTAGGGTGGCTTATAAGGCGACCGACGTGAACCCTTAGCATCTGCATTTATTCTCCCCTGACCTGAGTGTAGCTACTACCGTACGTGCAGTTGGACAAGAAGAAGGCGTGCATGATACAGGGGACTTAAATTTGGTTGCTGTCAGGCTTACCACTGTTCAAGCGACTAATCGTCATTTCCGTCGTTTCAGAGTGGTTATAAGTTACGGCATAACCTACCTACAAGCCTGTACCGACACGTGTCAGTTTCGGAGTGTATTGTATGCAGAAAGTTCCGCGACGTGTTGGCCAAATTTCAGGAGTGTGTTCTACAGGCCTTATAGAGAGAAAATGTCTGCAATCTGTAGATCGACTCGACACCGTTAACGAGTTTTTTTTATTGCTAGTCGGGTGGGACGAAGTCCCTTGTACTGCGGCCACTTCTGGCCTATTGTACCAGCCCCAGATGATAGGTGAGGGTCATTGTGGAGCAACTGGTGGAATGAAGATTGGCAGGGGAAACCGAAGTACTCGGAGAAAACCACTTTGTCCACCACAAATCCCACTGGACCGGACCCGGGATCGAACCCGGGCCGCCGCGGTGTGAAGCCAGCGATTAACCGCTTGAGCTATGGCGCGGCCACGTTAACAAGTTAAGAGCTAGTACAGAGTGGGGCGCAGAAACTTCATTTTTGTGAAGACGCATTGTGAAGGGAGGGGAGGTCACAGAAAAGTGGGGATAGGTTCGGCGAATGCAGCAGTCGCGGAAGTTTCTGTCTAATACCCCTCAGTATGAAACGAGGTGTACGAGTGAGCAGCGTGTGTTTGCTGTCGAAGCCTATTTTTCGAACAGCCATTCCTACAGGGCGGTGCAGCGTGCGTTCCGTACTCACTTCGGAATTAAACCCAGAGGTCCGGTTCCCGACCGGAAATCGATTGTTTTGTGGGCAGAGAACTTTAGGACAACCGGGAGTGTGGTGAAAAAATCATCAGGACGATAACGGACCGTTACGACGCCAGAAAATGTGGAGGCAGTTCGACAGTCGATTTTGAGATCTCCAATACGCTCCGCTCGCAAACATGCAGTCGCCCTAGACATATCCAATCGTTCAATGCGCCGAATTCTTCACGAACATCTTCATTTCCGTCCCTATAAGATGTTTGTTGTGCAAGAATTGTCACCACGTGATTTCCAGAACCAAATAACGGCATGTGAAACGTTATTGAAAACTTTACCCCCTGATGCACTTGTTTTCATTAGTGATGAGACACATTTTCACCTATCCGGATATGTCAATAGGCAGAATATGCGCTATTGGAGTGGTAACAGTCCCAGAGAGCTCCATGAGAGGCCACTTCACAGTGATAAGGTGACAGTATGGCGTGCGTTGTCGAGAGTTGGAGTTATTGGCCCTTATTTTTTTTGAAGAAGACAATCATGCAGTTACTGTCAATTCACAGCGGTATCTGGACATGATTAAAAACTTTTTCGAACCAGCTCTTGAAGAAATGCATCTAGGAAAAGTCTGGTTCCAACAGGATGGTGCCACGGCCCACACAGCCCGAGCTTCGATGACAATTTTGAGGACAAAGTTCACCGGACGGCTCATCTCGCTTTGAGGTGACATCCCGTGGGCAGCGCACTCACCTGATCTAACGCCCTGTGATTTTTTTATGGGGATACCTCAAGGCAGAGGTTTTTAAACATCGCCCCACAAACCTGCTTCACCTGAAGGATGTTATTCGGCAGGAAGTAGCCCAAATTCCAGTGCACGTGTTGGAACGTGCAGAGGGGAACTTTAGAAAATGGTTACATCAGTGCATAGAGAATGGTGGCCACCACCTTCAAGATATTTTGTTTAAAACTACATGATTTAAAACTTTCAAGTATGTTCTTTCATTAGCTAAACATAATTTTTGTCTATCAGCAATAATTTTTCTTTTATTCGCCTTCAAAAAAAGGAAGTTTCTGCGCCCCACTCTGTATCGTGTAGCACTGAATAAGAAGCGTCTTTTCAACTCACCTTTGTTATCATTTTAAAGAATTAAAACAAATAGGTTTCAAGGTTATAACAAAGCGTGTTCGAAATGCCCACTGTTAGACTGCATGCATGCTGCCGGTCTTTGTGCCATTGAATATTACCACTGAATGCGTCCCAGTTCGTTTTTGATACCAACTACGGCGTCATCTATGGTCTGTACCTGGTCTGTACTGTCAGTACTAACTGATTCCTAACATCTGATTTACTACCGTGATGCAATTTAGACTTCATGCGGCCTCACAGAAAGAAAACTAATGGGTTTTATTCGAGAGACCGATCCATCTCGTCCTATCCGCCTTCCTTCATAATCTTCGTTAAAAAATTTCGTTACTTCTCTGCCAAAATGTGGAAGTGCTCCGTCATGTTGTAGCACTTTCATCTTCCTATTTCAAGAAGCACATCCTCTAAATGCAACTGTCATTCATTTTCTAGAAAATTCCTGCCTAGTTAATTAGTTATTGGAGAGGGTGGGTTACCCCATGCACCGCGACCAGTTTGATCTATTGTGCTTCCCTCTATGATATTCTACCAGTCTCTATACCCTACCGATATTGGTGCGTACCATCAGTCCCGACCGAGCCAGCGAGTTCTCTACTGGCTTGGCGGTATCTATAATGCTTCCCCCATTTATCAGAGGCATTAGAGAATACTGTTGGGCGGGAAACCTCCTTGAATTTGGCTCAGTGACCTCCTTAGGAGATATGAGGTTCTTTTACGTGCCGTAAAGCTGCGACACGGGACCCACGGCTTAAAGTCCCTCCCGGAGGACTTGTTCCCTGAATTTTTCCGCCCTTAAAAATTCGACGACCTCCGCCGGGTTTGAACCCGCGTACCACGAGTCATGAGGTGGGAACGTTACCTCTAGACTACGGAGGCCGCTTAAATTCCTGCCTATAATACGGAGCTGTTAAATACCTCTCGATAACGTGTTATTACGTAGTACTCCACACCACACGCTAACTGAAAATCGGCGTTTGAAAATGATGTTTATACTGCTTCATGTGGCTTTCCGTTTGCCCAATAATGCTGGATCCTTGTGTTGGTAATATCATCCCGGGTAAATTTAGTTTCATTCGCAGATTATGTAGCAGTTGTTGCAGCCGCTCACAAAATCGTACACGGTTGGCGTGAAGTCCCGGTAAGAAATGTACTATTTGGAGGTAATACGGATAGAAACAGTTAATGGTACAAAATTCTCTATACCTGTGTCTGTACTACACCACTCGTGAAAATTCTGCTTACACTTTGACTTCGCTACACTGCTGCCAGAACACCATCTCTGCTCCGTCATTGTTCACGTTCTGCATTCGCGCACACTCAAAGCTCTGTGTATTTTCTCAAATGTTAGAATTCTGCGAAGTGGATATGGTTGCCGGCATTCCACCACATCATCTACCATTTCCATTGCAGAAACCGTAAACAAGAAGCATGGAAGCGTATTCTTAATTTGTAAACTCGTTAGTCATTTTCACTACGACCACACTGCAACCCAACAGAGGCATAATATACATATATATTTGTAATCCAGCTCCTCACCAGATCGGACATATACACATAAACGGAAGAGTCCGTCAAATAGAAACAAAAAATAACGTGCAATATAGCAACGGACCTCCGAGCACCATGACAACCGTCTGTGTATACAGCACGTCCGCATAAGCAACACCACGTATTATTACGGTTACAACTACCTACGTTGGAATACAATTATATGTACAACTCTTAACTCTAATTAAATTATGTAACTGGTCCATTTTAAGACTTTTACTTTTAATGTAATTTTATATTTTATATTATTGTATACTGTTTGAAAAATCTGATACTACATCGTGTAATTGGTACCCAATCCATTATCTAAGATGTTTTAAGTGTATTTACCTGATGATTGCTTCTTGAAAGCGGAAACATAGGGTTGTGAGACGTTGAGGGTCCCTCATTATCTAGACAATAGGCTCAAAAATGGCGGTAATGTTGTCAGCCTTACGCGCCGGCCGCGCTTTACTCCCCAGGAAAATTACTTAATTAATTCCTGGTACCCATTTCTGTTAGAGGCTGAGTCGACCCCAGGGCCATAGTACGGCTGGAAGGATTAGGTCAATTGAAAAAATCCAATGACCTCATCGGGATTTGATTCCACGACCTTCCGGCTTGTAGCATAGTGCCTCAACCAACTATGCTACCACTTGATACTACAAACATATATTATTAATTGTTGTGTTGTGATGACTTTCAATAAAACAAATAGAGGCATAATAGCCCAGACCGTGTACAAACAGTAACTCGGCCATGTTACAGCAGCTCTAGCTCCCTCCACTAGCGTTTAACTCGATAACATAGTTGAATGACCTGTAGTTTATTTGACTTTTTTTTTTCTGCTCTAAATGACCTACAGAACACGCTCCTGAATGTTGGCCAATATATCTCGAATCACTTTGTATATGACCTTACCTGGACGCTCTAAAGTGCAAGGTAACCCATTTTGTATCGCGTTGTACAATAGACGTGCCACCTAATTTGAACGACTAACCCCTCTTCTCGTCAAAGGGGAGACCCAGTGCCCAAAACACCGTAATAGTCTAGTATCCCTGGCTAGGGATTGTTGGACCCTTGACCCTCCAGGTAGAGATAACCACTTACAGATGAGCCGAGCGGGTGTTGTTCTGTCCAGATGGCTACAGAGTCGCTGGGTAACGTGTCGTTTAAGAATGGCTTAGCTCACAAAACAATCTTCGATTGGAGATAAATGAAAACGTGACACAGACTAAATTCTGCCGAGACTTCGAACACTCAGGAGAAGAGATTCGAACTAAAGTCTGATGCTGAAGCTGTGACAGCATGACTGTCTGAAGATATATCTCTCTGCCTCCTAATTTTCGGGAGGTTTATAAATGCTCCAATAAGGAAATTTCCGTGACGTGGCATACCAAAATACTTGAAATTTATCTACCCCTAAGGGATTTTTATCTCGGTATCATTATTTATTCCAGTCCAAAGGCTGCGGGAAATATTCTTGTTTACGTGATCTCTCCGAGCGCGACACCCAGTGCTCTCTGGTATCAACAGCCNAGTTATCCGGGTTTCGGCCCCTAAATATGGGTCTATCTGTGTTTAACACTTTCCTCCTCTTTAAAATTGCAAATAATATTTTTTAAAGGAACTTTACTTGAGTGCTTACTAAATATTCCGTGCATTTTTTTAGTTGATTTCACACCATACCTAATAAACAACTTAGAAAAATTTGGAATTAATTTGATTATAAGACTATATAATATCGATAAATTCTAGTAAACTTTTAGGGGCTGCTTTATAGGCACCGTGCACTGGAAAACTTCAATTTAATTAAATATTTTTTAACTATATAGGTCCAGCTCTTATTCATGTGTTTCATAGATGTGATAATTGCAGCATAGATATCCGTTTCGATATACTGGAACAAATATTTTTATAACGCGGCCCTCGGGTAGGTTCCTAAAGTACAGTGCGGTCCTTCAATTATTTCAAGATGTACAGCCCCGGTTTACAGTTATTTACTTGGACCTACAAGAAAAGAAGCCGAGAGAGAGAGAGAGAGATATGATTTAACTACTCTGTATATTCGCTTTGTTTCGCTGTGATGCTTTACAGAGCCGAAACGAATTAAAATTAAATTATGCCGAAAGCTTTTGGTATAGACCACGCAGTACTAAGTTGTGTCGAAATATGCTCAGTAGTTTTGGAAATAAAACATGCGGACGTACGAATAGACGACCATCATCCTCGTCATGTGATTTCTTTATGCATCTTGTGAACAGATTTTATACATTTCGCTCTGTCAGCATGTTGTTACTGATCCCTCAGAATAACACTAATGAAAACTGCACATATTTCAAAGATCTAGTAAATAGCTCAAGCGGTTAGTCGCTGGCTTCCCCCCGCGGCAGCCCGGGTTCGATCCCGGGGTCTGGTCAACTGGGATTTTGTGGTGGACAAAGTGGCGCTGGGGCAGGTTTTCTCCAAGTACTTCGGTTTCCCCTGCCAAACTTCATTCAACCCATTGCTCCACAGTAACCCTTACCTATCATCTGGGGCTGGTACAATAGGACAGAAGTGGCCGCAGTACAAGGGACTTAGTCCCACCCCACTAGCAATAAAAAAAAGGTAAAAGTAAACCTATCCCTGAATGCCCATACAAATGTGAGACGTCGAGGCTCCCACATTTTCTAGGCAGTCGGTTCACAGATGGCGGTGAGGTTGTCAGCCTTACACGCCTGCCTCCCTTTACTCCCAGGGAAATTCCTGGCACTCATTTGTGTTAGAGGCTGAGGCGACCCCAGGGTCATGGTGCGGCTGGAAGGATTAGGTCAATTAAAATATCCAATAGCCTCATCGGGAATCGAACCCGCTACTTTCTGACTTGCAGCATAGTGCCTCAACCAAATACACTACTGTGTGCCCCCTCGAAACCTATTACCAGACGTACCTTACGGACATGATTCAGTTTCCCTGCACTTAGCAGTGTTAGTGTTGTCTACCGCCTCATAGGCTGGCCCAGGCCGTATTGCTGATTGTGTACAGTAACATGGTTTTCGTAGTATTATGACAATCGATTATTTAGTTAGTAAGTTGCCATGGAAACTGATGACCGGTTATGTTCACATACCTTAGAGTTTTGTTGCCTGATGTGGCAGCGACTGGAATGACCACCGTCAGTAGTAGAATTAGGAGCCTGCTTGCCATCTTCTTGCTGTCTGTGTCATGTTGCTACTCGCTCGGCGATTTGTACTCGCGGTTATCACAATTCTACGTCACGATACTCGTAACCCTTGGTGGTCACGGACTCCTCTACTTACGACATTTCACACGAAATGACAAAACAAGTGTCTGTCGCTCCTTATCCCATCTGTGGTCAAAGTCTTTATCAGACTGCAACGGAAGCTGACACATCGCTTATGAGAACTACGGTTATTGTGTTCCTGGAGTATTCAACGGCGAAGCTGTGCCATTATATTCAACTCTGATACCCTCTCTCCTCGCTCGCACCGGTTTTTCTATCATCACTGCCCAATCGCCTTGACGCGTTCGGAAGGAAACGGGTTCGTTCCTTCTAGCTTGCTAGCCATGAGACTCTTGATGTGGAACTCTCCAAATCCACTTTAGTAAATTCAGGTTCTAGAAAATTTTTTACAAACCTTTTCTTTGTTTTAGATCAATTTGTGTTGGGCGCTCAGCTTGAAGCATAACATTCCTATAAATAATAAACTTTATTTAAAATGTCAGGCTCTATTTCGCAGGAAATGCACTGCGTCCCCATTACAAAGATAGCAGTTACAAAAGTTAAAAAATAGCCAATAGAATATCTAAAACAATAAATGAATACTTCTCTGGTTTAGGTCTGCCTCTAATTTAATGTTAAAATTGTTTATCACAGACGTCGCGCTTCGTATATTTTTTGCAGAAAGACTTCCCTTGAAATTTACCGCAATATCTGCAGAACTGTGTTACCCGCCGTGATTCCATTAACATAATCCGACCTCGACATATGTAAACTGAAAACTGGCTAACTAAGAAAGAATTAATAGTCACGAGAACATAATACGTACATCTACGTACTACTGTATTTGCTTTCATCATACAGATATTTATTACCTTTTGATTTAACGAATAATTTCTTTCTGGTCTTCTTTACAACACAAACCGCAAAAACACAAAACCGGGCATAAAAGGCACGCAGTTCCATAGAACTCCAATTGACAACACGAATTTTTCGGAACTTCTACCAATTTACAGTGCGCTGTAGAGCGTGCTTACCTTTAGTTACTATAGGATTCTGACGATGGTGTATAACACACTGATATATTGCGTTTTTGGACTTCATCCATCGTCCTGGTTTTTAAGATAACAAATAAAAACACGACGTTTCGGAAACTGGATCTGTTTCCGTCCTCAGGTGAAGGAAAACAGGTCCAGTGATTGAGGCTAGCTCTTTCTAACGGACCCAACAGAATAGGTGTTTTCCTTCACCTGAGGACGGAAACAGATCCAGTTTCCGAAACGTCGTGTTTTTATTTGTTATCTTAATAAAGAGGACGATGGATAAAGTCCAAAAACCCAATATACCAGTGCTTACCTTTACCCACTCCGTGCCAATAACCTTCTCGCCCCTACGTCAGCTGTAACTGAATATCGCGTTAAAGACGCAAAGAATGCATTGTTTTAGTACTTGATTCTGAATGGTCTGTAAAAACAGTCGTTTTTTTTCAGCGGAACGTGGGAAATTCCCATTAGATTATGACTCATTACCGCTATTATCACAGTTTCATCATTTCAGTGAAGATAAACTCGTCCCCCGATAATTCTGATTGTTTCCAGTGGTTTCTAAACTCATGTTAATATCCATGTACGTAAGAAACATCACTTTTATACTCAGATATGTTGACATTTTATGATTTAATTGGTGGAAATCCCCCCTCCCCTCTCTGCAGATTATCTCATCTCGTAGAAAGGGCACATCGTGATTGGGTGTAATAATGTTGGAATATTGTATTGAAATACACCGCTGTCACTTTCTCAATAGTGGGTTTCATGGTGCTAATGATACTGTTACCCGATTCCACAATAAGAGTTAGAAGTAATTAATTCCTCCTGGCTTTTGTGACAGGTTTATATTTGAAGAGTACTGTTTTCTTTGATGTCAGATCTTGTAGCCTGTTTATGGAAGGTTCCAGAGAATGTAGTGCTTCCATCTTCAGGGGCGAAAAGTAATTCAAGCAATCAAACAAACTAACAATCTTCTGCCTACTTCTTGCTTGTTTGCTTTTCTTTGCTTAGGCTTCTACCTTCAAAATGGCCGCAGTACGTTCGTCTGAAACATAATTAAACTTCTACGAGTCTACATGGCGACACATCAATTAAAATGGTTATCTTCACAATAACCGCGTGAGAACCACAAGTCTCACAAGTTCATAATTACTTAGCCGCCTTTATGGAACTCAAAGATTAAATTCAGTGTTCACAACAGACAAAAAAAAATTGGGGCTATCCTGAAGTGCTTGACACAAGTCCACACCTACATGCCCTAGGTTTGTTTTAATGTTATCTTATTCACGTCTGTCTTCCAAATTATATCTTCCCTTATGGTTTCCAATTAAGATATTGTTTGTAAGCCTACTCATCAAGCCCCTAAACTACACTCCCCCGTTCATCGCATCCAACTCGATTTATTCGCCCTAATAATGTTAAGTGAAAGTACAAATCATGAAGCTCCTTGCGATGTAATTTTCTCCGCCCTCCTGTTGTTCTTTCATATGTGCAAACTTAGCACTTTGTTTCAAGTTGTCAAACAAATGAGCTCAATTCTTTTCCAGGCCAGTTCTATAAATTTCGTACCCTGTCTGGACAACAGCACAGTTCGAGTAGTGTAATTTTCATAATCAAATTTTAACGCTTTAAAGTACAGGGGAAACTATATGTATCATCTAGTTTAAGATTAAAGAAAAGTGTTTCGTCTAAATGAACTCCAGTTATTTCCCTAAACATTGTTGATCGGTTATTCTTTGTAATGGAGATGAAGTGTGAGTTGTGTGAGGTAGGCTGCGTGTGATTTTAATACAAATTGGATGAACCTAAAACTCTCTCGCTTTCACTTCTTCCACCCCACAAGAAATCACTAACTAGTACATGTACATTTCTGTTCTCGTAGCATTCATATTCATATTTAATGTGTCTTCAAGAGATCTATGTACATAGATATAGAATCTGTCATTGTTTATGCTAGATAACAAAATAATAAGAAGATATTTAATCATACAATATATATCCGACTGGATATCACAAAGTATAAAACATACATTTGCATCTATGGTACATATAATATATCACTTACTATGCAAGGTAAGACTATAGTATAATAATTGATCATACAATGTAAATCCGACTGTACATCCATTTCACAATAATAATCATTTGCAGCTTAATCAGTAATTTTCAGATTGATGAAGAAAGTATGTTCAACTAGATATTTCTCAGACAGGAAATACACTACACAGAATGCTGTGCTACTTGAAGAAGAGCTTGATGGAATTTGAACCAGATTAGAATATTCACTTATTTCACAAACATTTCCATTTTGAATGCAACTTATTATTTAGCAACTCTTCTTCCTCACTACATATTTCAGCCATATATGGCCATTATCAGGTGTCTCCCATCTTGCTAAAATTGTTACATTGTATATAAAATTTTCATATTTCATACGAACCCGATATTTCCTATTAATATAAATTTACCTTAATTAAAATTCCAGTGTTTTCCTTACGGTCATTGGTCATTCATTTAAAAGCTATTTGCCTGAGGGTCTTTTGTTTTGGATTCATTTGAGCAGTACTCCCTTTGCAGTGTGGATATTATCTGTAATGTGGAAATAATGTGTTATGTTGTATAATTTTATTGTTAAATTTGTAAGGATTGATGTTGTTTATAATTGTACTTACGCATGTTATTTGTGCAGATCATAAGGACGTTGTTGTTGTGGTATTATCATTTTTGTTACAATCATAAACAACATCAATACTTATAAATTAACAATATAATTATATCACAACACATCATTTACACATTACAGATTATATCTGTACTGAAAAGGGAATGCTGCTCAAATGAAACCAAAACAAAAGATTCTCAGGAAAACAGCTTTCAAACCAATGAACAGCAACCATAAAGAAAACATTGGGATGTTAATTTTAATTAAGGAAAATTTGTTTTAATCAGGAATTCACATGAGATAATGAAAATCTGACACAGGGTGCAACAATTTTAGCAAGATAGAAAAGATTTGATGATGGCCATGTATGGCCGAAACATGTAGTGTCGAAGAAGAATTGCTATATAATATGTCACATTTAAGATGGAAATATATGTGAAATAAGTAATATATTAATGGAACAGGATGTTTAACTACAATATTAGGATATTCACCTCGCAAATTTCTGGCACAATTAGCTCGAAAGGCTGCCCTCCAACTAAGAGCAACCAAGAAGTTATGTCTAGTTATGTACAGAAATAGACAAGTTAAAATGACTGAAGGTGCTTATGAGAGTAGAATGTGTATTTTAACTGGATTTTGCAGGCAGTATATGACAGTGTTCCTGACCAGAAACTTGCATTTTTATTGATGAAGCTTGGTACAATCTGATATTATTGGAAACACTGAACTTCTCTCGACAGATGACAGCTAAGGTTCTAGCTAACAGGCCAATGGTAAGAGAGTCGGTCTTTTGAGGAAGATGGTGTGTATGTATATAAAGTAACGTAAAAGAAAAAAAAGTTAAAAGCTATCCCTGTAACAGGCCGTGGAGGCCCATAGGGTTGTGAATTGAATTGAATTGAATTTATTTACATTCTATAAATCCTAAGCAGAGATGTTAAGGTTCCCATATTTTCTAGACAGTCGGCTCATAGATGGCGGCAAGGTTGTCAGCCCTACGCACCAGCTGCCCTTTACCCCCAAGAACATTCCAAGAATATTCCTGGTATTCATTTCTGTTAGAGGCTGAATCGACTCCAGTGCCTTCCAGTGGCTGGAAGGATTAGGTCAATTGAAAAAAATTCATTGACCTCATTGGGAGGTGTGTATGTATATAACGTCTTTAAATGCAATTCTTGAAGCAGCTTCCATTTTTGCAGTTTTTTTCTTGTTTTTAAAAGACACCCTGCATTCTATAGGATTTATGCATATCTCAACTCAGCAGAAGGTGAGAGTTCATGTTTCAGCCAGTCTTTTTATGTCCAACAAAAAAGTGAAATCAATGTGCCACATGTGCTTTAATGACTATAACAGAAAAATAGGGGTACAGGTCTTAGAAAATATTAAATTGTAGTCTATTTATCCTCATGAAGTATGCTTCAGTTTCAATCAGGCCAAGCACCAAGATTTTCGGCATTACTCACAGCAGATGATCTTATAATGGTCTTCACATTTTGACATTATAGCTGCTGGCAATGCTGTTATGTTGTAAGACAGCTAGAGTACACGGCAATAAAAAATATTAGAATTACTAAAATTGTAACATTGTGATGAAAAAGAATTCTCATAAAACCCTTTCTTCAGTGATATCTGATTGTCTTACCACAGAGAATATGAAAATTAGCCTTCTGAGGCTGATGCCATGTGATCTTGCAAGTAGGTAGGTAGGTAGGAAGGAAATTTCTATCATGAAGACAGAAACAATGCGTTCCTCTGAGACATTGTTATGTATCTATGAGACAACATGTCATCACATCCCAGAAGACCATAATGTTCATTTTCATTCAGTGTTTTGCGAAATGTTTGAGTAGGTAGAATTATTTGGAATTGCTATAAATTTGCTATAAATATTCTAAACTTTGGGCTGAGGTCAAAATAGGTTAAGAATCTGCTAAACAGAACATTATAGACTGTGACTTCTCCTCCCAATTATTTGAGATTAATATAATTTATGGTGCAGGCTAAGCAATTAATGAAGCATAAAAGTAACATTATCCAACTTTTTAGTAATGTTATTTGCTTCATTCCTGATGTGTTTAGATTGACATCATCTGAATGTATTGGAATTGGGTGATGGCATTTTCTTCTCCACTGTAAGATATAATGGTTATATCATTATGGCCCAGACATCACATGAAAATGTTGTATCACATGAAGACGAGGTTGGTATTAAAGTAAGAGAGGATTCAAATGTGTCATAATCCTGCAAAGCAAATAGCATCATGTGGGTTACAAGCAGAAATTTCTGCAGGTTATAAACAGGATGTGACAAAGTCTGAAACCAGAATATTAGGTAAAGTTTAAAAGCAGAAGCACTACAGGAAACATTGGTAAAATTAAGGGTGCAGCGACAAAGGTGTTATGCTGCAAAATAATTCCTTTGAGACTTTCAGAATTGAAGATATCAAATATCTGTTACAGATAATGGGCAAAGTGGAGAAATAGAGTGAGGGAACACATAAAAACGAGATAGAAGGGATGGAGTGGACAAGGATACAAAATTATATCTGGGAGGAAGATTTGCATAAATCTGTATCATATGGTGGTGCACTCTGGTGGAAATGCTATCGGATCCAAACTTCTACAGCCATATGCTAGTCTCTAGCTGAGGTTTGTTGAGAAGACCTTCACTCTCTAGGTTTTAATATCCTATCTCTAATTAACAGATGTTAATGTGACAGCATCATTATTATACTGTTTCTTACTAAATACTGTGGCTTTAAATTACAGCTTGCAGTATGACACTGCATGTTCCTACTGAAATTCTGTACATAGAGAAGGGGGACAGTAGATACATTTTGGTGACACTGGAGACCAGCTTTCTATTTAAGATCTGAAGTAGCATGTTCAAATGTATCTATAGTCAATGTATTTTTTTCTTCCTTGGCACTACAGCCCCAGTGGGCCTAGGCCTATCTCTGTGAACTTCTCTGTTCATTTCGGTTTTTCTAGATCTTAGACATATGGTAAGACTCCTTGGGCAGGTGATCAGCTCGTCGCAACCTGTAGACAAACACAGAAAAATGCACACAAACATCCATGTCCTGAGTGGGATTCGAACCCACGATCCCAGCTTCCGAGCGAGCGAAGACAGTGCACGCCTTAGACCGCTCGGCTACCGTGACTGGCTGTAGTCAATGTATAGATCCTTCATATTGATCTTTACTTTTAGAACTCCATTTTCTATATTCTGTTCACAAAAAACCCACAAACCACAAGCATTCCAATGATCCACTCTCCTTATTTCTTGCTAAGTAGGGGGAAACATATATGAAACCTCTTTCATTTTCTTGCTCAAGTTTTTGTATTCCATTAGTGACAAATATCAGTCTCAATTTGAATTCCAAGTTCCCAATGAAATTCCCTCCTGCTACCCTATACTATCTGCTAGCTAAGTCTACATATACTAAACACCATCCTCATGGAAAATTTCTCCATGTGTTTCTACCAATTGTTAGTTCCAAAGATTCCTTAGTTTGCTCCTTTTTTGTGTTCACATCATTTATGTAATTTATAATGTGCTCCTCTTCTTAAACATGACCTATCACTTTTCATAGACCATCTTGCAGAATGTATTCTTTCACATACATTTATCTTCGTCAGGACTGGCCCAACATCATCATAAATACCATATCATCTATATGAGTCGCGATCACTGACCACCCACACATCATGATTTTAATAACAGCTACAGAATCATTTTATACACCTTCCCTCATTTCCCATAAATGGCCTTTGTTCAGTGTTAACTATTCATTGTGATTATGCTCTTATATCTCAGCTTCTGGCCTTTTATTCTACAAGTGGCAGATGGTCTACCAGAGGAATCTAAATCCTACAAGAAAGATGCCTATTTCTGTTTTTCCTTGATTTATTCTTCAAGAACACATACCACCTGCCATATTTTGAAAATAGCTAGGGCTTGTAGAATCCAGCTAAATCAGTAGTAATAGCACTGTAAAGGATCTTCTACTTGTACAACTCTCCTCTAGACCGGACATGGACAGAGTTCTGTGTTGTGTGTTTCTGCTGTCTGCTTGAGCCTAGGCTCTGGTAGTTATCCATCTCACCCAACCAAATTTTATATATTTTGTATGCTTTTAATTGTTCAAATATGTGTTTCAGTGTAAGTATCTGAGTTTTTTGGAGTCAAAATTTCAACAAGCCTTCTTCAGTCCTTCTGGATACGTTATTCCATTCAAAATTGCCTGGCGTTTTTTGGATAGCTTGATCTTTCTGACAATTGACGTTACTAATTGATATCTTTGCTGTACTTAATTTTGTTTTCATCCGCTTTGAAGGGCAAGGTATTTATATACAGAGTTGAATACGTCAAATGTTGCGGGTTGCAACTCCACCCCCTCATTTCTAACCCCCACCCAGTCATTTCAATCGACACAATGGGTTCGCCCGTTCTGAGCTTGCTTTGACCCGGCCGCTCCCATTCCGACGAGAAGAGTCGGGTAAGTTGGACGTACGTATGTGTGCAGTGTCTACATCTAGCGATGTCAGGCAGGTAATAATCAGGACGGGGCGGGGCGCCAAGACGTGATGGACGCGTTGCTAATCCGTCGCGTGTCCTGACGTCAAGTTTGTGTCAACACGCGTGGATTTATTTAGCGTGTGTATGTGTAGTTCAAGTGCGTGGATACTTCTTTTTATTCTTCACGTGTGTGCCAGGTTACTGCAAGAAAGGGGGAAACATGGCTGCCATCATACTATCGTTCGCTCGAAGGTGAGTCCGTACCTATCTATCTCACTAGAAATGTAAGCATATCTTTAAATCAAACTATTCTGTCAGTCATCGCACAAGGTTTCGTACTGGGGATTGAGTGCACACTATACTCGTATATCCAATGATTTTGCATTGTATATTGTTTTCTCTTAGAAATAAAAATAATTTACTTTTGTGTCTAGGGAAAAATGGTTTGTTGTGTCTCGAAAACTGAATTTACTGCTGTGATGATTATTATCTGATTCAATGCAATGCAATTAAACGGCGATGCAGTGTGAATTTTCTCAAGGGGCGTGGCTTGTAGGAGACTGGGAAGTGTTATAGCATTCCTCTATCAGTGTAGGCCTCAGATCATGCTGTTCCGAATCATGTCTAGGAAAGATAACACGATTCTGTCATAAGTTTATTCGTGTTCCTTCACTTGATATGTTTCTTAGGGTGCCGCTTTCAGTATTTAGTTAAAATTTGGAAGCCAGCGATTTGTAGTCCGTACAAATAGCTCTCTAAATTTATTAAGTTACGAAAATCATAAAATTTTCATAAATTCAGTTTCCTATGAGTTTAACTACGCAGTCATATCTTCGGCCTGATTGAACCTGGGTATGCCCCACCTTACACGTTAAGGACACATCTAATGTCGTCAAGTCATGCGATAAACTCTAGTGGCTACCGGAATACATGTCAGATCATGGATCGAATTAAAAGCTAGAAGAATTAGTTCTGTAAAGTAATATATTTTTTTTTTTCATGTTTATTTGAAGTTTAGATTTATAACTCTGGTAAACAGTAAATTCAAAACAACTTTTGAAAATATTTTCCTCATACAATATTAGCACTTCAGCCTCCGGTGCAAATTGCATAGGAGGCTGGGTAGGTCCAATATTTAACCTGGATATTGTGGCGATCAGAAAAATATCCACTCACGCCGGGAATCGAACCTCAATTCTCCGAGATTCCAGTCCTTGCCTAATCACTATACTGACTGAGCTTTCCGGGTACACATTTCAAGGTAATAGTAGCCAAAAATGCAGCACTGAAAGCATTTGTAGACATGGTAGCCAGCTGCATCCTAAGCATTGCTGGAAACGGTAATGGGCTGTCAGTCGAACATTTTACCTTAATGGTTTAAGTGTAGGACAGGGACGGAGAAACATTATACGGCTACGTCCCAAAACCTAAAGAGAAAAATTGTATGCATGCACAAATACATTTTATTTTCACGCACACATGTTACGCATAAAATGACATTCCATTTGTAAATTCATTACAATTTTTTATCAAATATTTTACAGAAAATTGTCTTCGCAACATTACATTCGACGTCACTTGAGACAATTGTGGAAATTGTTCATCACTCGTATAGATAAAAAAATTAACATATTGTTCAACAATTAGTTACTACAATTTATAAAAATATTGTTAATTTTTTCGGCATGCCAATTGAGGCCTTTGTAGCCGTGGTTCGCAGTCTACATTACAGAATAGGTCAAAGTTAAATGTTTTGCTGATGGGAAAACGGACCAATTCCCGAATATTCTTGAAGTGTTTTCTTTAGTTTCTGAAGCCAAATCTATAGCACGGCGTAACATCTACTTATTATTTTTTTAGACTAATTTCCTTATTTTGAAAAAAATAAAAGGTTTATGAGATCACCTTGCCGTCTGTGTCTGTTTACGTAAAAGGAAAGTAGGCGAATAGTTCTTCCCATAACTTCTTGTTGTTTCATTAATGTAATTGCCGTGATGCTACTGGCGTCGTTAACCAATCGAAAAATCAAACAGACACGATCCTGAATTCATCTACGGTTTTTGGTGAAATCTGATGTCGGAGATTCGCTGAAAATGACTTCGAAAATAAATTTGAATCATGTAGAATTTGAGGGTTCACAGCGGTGGTTATGAAGAGTGCTATCTTCTGGAATAAAAAGCCTTGTAATTTGTTGAAAGTCAACCGACGTTTCGGAGGAACATATCGCTTCCATATTCAGAATTTAATAAGCCAAGCAAGATCACTCCATCACCTGCTTTTACGCTGGTATCTTGTCCGCCTTATTCGACCCTGAAGATGGAGGCGATATGTTCCTCCGAAACGTTGGTTGTCTTTCAACGGGCTACATGGCGTTATATACCAGAAGACAGTATTCTTCATAATATTGTGCCATTGGAATTTCGGAGAAAAAGTAAATGAATGTTCATATTTTATCAGAACGTAGAATAGAGTCGTTGTACTAGTATTAAGATAACTCACAATTTCTTATAAAAGGTAAAGCCGTCCCTGTAACAGGACTTGGAGGCTCATAGGGTTGTGAGACGTCGAGGCTCTCACATTTTCTAGAAAATCGGCTCACAGATGGCAGTAAGGTTGTCAAACTTACGCTCCGGCCGCCCTTTACCCCACAGGAACATTCCTGGTACTCATTTCTGTTAAAGGCTGAGTCGACTAGGACTAGGTCATTTGAAAAATCCAGTGAACTTATCGGGAATCGAACCCGCAACCTTCCGGCTTGTAGCATAGTTCCTTAACCAACTACGCTACTGCGTACCCCCAACATTCAATGTGCAAAGCTTACGGACCACGTAACCTTAAGTTTCAACAATAACGTGTCTGTGGCTGTTTAATTCTAGGATATTGAAAAAAACTATTTGATATAACATGGCACCTTGCCTTGCCATTTAAATAATCGGAATTAAAATTTTCGGTTAGCCTAATCAAGCTTATTGGCTCTCTTCTTTCTCAGAGAAAATCCAGAGTTTCGGTCGAAGGTGAAATATTTAAGCCAAAGGAGGGGTGCAGGGCTGCCACAATGTTTCGTCCTGTCCCCCACATTGTACAGCGTATATATATATACATGATACGCCCCAAACACCTGGTGTCTGTCTAGGTCTCTTTGCTGATGACACCTGTATATATGCGACAGACCGCAAAGGGGGTTATATTCTCAGAAAGCTGCAGCGAAGGTTCACTGCTATTGAGACGTGATGTAAGTGCTGAAACATGAAATCAATGAAGCCAAGACTCAGGCCATCTACTTTTCTCATTATTATTATTGGAAGGGGTGGGTTTCCCCATACACCGCGACTAATAGTCTATTGTACGTCCCCCTTTGATATTCTACCAGTCGCCATACCCTACCGGTATTGGTGCGTGATATCAGCCCCGTTCAGCCAACGAGGTCGGCCCTCGGTACCTCGATTATTCCCCCACCTACCAGAGGCATTGGAAACTACTTGGGCGGGAAACTTGCCTAATTTTGCTCAGAGGTCTCCGGGAGACATGAGGATCTTTTACGTGCCATAAATCTACGACACGGGACCCACGGCTTAAAGTCCCTCCCGGAGGACTTCTTCCCTGAAATTTTCCGCCCTTAGAAATTCCACGACCTCCGCCGGGTACCTTGAGTTGTGAGGTGGGAACGTTACCCCTAGACTACGGAGGCCGCTTACTTGTCTCATAGACTTAGGTTCCCTGAGGCTCATCTTACTTTAAATGGACAAAATATCCCCTTAGTCAATCATGTAAAATATCAATGATTTAATCACAGAATTACATGTGCCACCTCAAGGTGTCACACAGGTCTTGGCGTGTGCAGATACTTGCAACCGTTCCAATGGCACCAGCCGGTGGGATTCTCCGTTATTCTGACTCCGGGGTTCTCGCCTCCGCCAGCAAAGTAGGTAATAGGTATGCCACGACTAATAGGCAATTATGATATCTTTTCCTTAAAGGATACTGGTTGCATTGGTAACCTGGATGGGAAGCAAACTCCAGGAGTTAGGAAACACACTGTCGCTTGAACATGGTGAACTCTCTGTTTTTTCTGATATGTAGATATATGTATATTACTGTTACACTTTGATAGTTATACAGTCACACAATTAAGCTTCTCACACGGTTAAGTGACTATTTCCTCCCTAAAACGTCTTATTCGATTCCTAAATTTCTCCGCATGGACCTCTCTGGCTGTAACTATGGTAACTCTCGTACCTATCGTCACTGTAACTCTCTGACTGTCTAACTGTCGTAACTATATCCAACTAACTCCTTTCTTCCAGCCGAGACACCTTTATAACACCCACGTATGAGTATGAGGGATGGGCCATAAAATCCGGCCCTCGCACCGCGACCATCAATGAGCTAGTGTGCTTCCCCTTTGGAGTGACCCTTTATTAATCCTACACTTCGAATGAAATGTAGGACTTTATTTATGGGGGCGTCATAGAAGTCACTTGGTTCCATGAAGAACTGACCCAGGTGGCGAAATCTTAAGTAAGCTTTAGTCTCACAATCTCTTAGGATGTTTGTGGCCGATTCGTCTTCTTGTAGGCACCTTCCACAGGTTGGGTCATCTGTCAGTCCCAGTTTGAAAAGGTGCCATTTTATGTGGCAGTGTCCAGTAAATTATCCTACCACCCATCTTAATTCATCTCTGTTTAATTTCAACAGGTCCCTCGTTCTTTTGTCAGAAGGTCCTGATATAAATCCTTTTTCCTGTTTGAGTCCAGTTGTGGATTCCCAGTGTTTTTTTGTGATTTCTGTTAGTCCAGCCCCTGATCGCTTTCTTGGCAACTCCAATTGAGATGCCGCAAGCTGGTTCAGGTCCTGTGAATGGCTGTTCAGATCCTGTTCTTGCCAGCTGATCTGCGGTTGCATTCCCAGCAATACCCTCATGGCCTGGCACCCGTATCAGCTGAACTCTGTTACGTAGGTCGTACCGAAAGCCATGAGCAATTTTTTTTGCATGCAACCTGGGAACAGCAGACGAAAGTGAGTATCGTGGTAGGTGGAACCAGCTGTTGTGATAACCTTGAGTATCTTGTGACGTCAATAGCTTGCATCACGTGACCAGTATCACTCCTAACAAAATGGCCGACAACGATATGTCGTTTCGCCAGCGTGCTGTCATCGAATTTCGTGTGAAAGAGGGAGTCCTTGCTGCAGAAATTCACCAGAGACTTCAACGTCCTTATGGAAGTGTGTACATGGGTGCGAGCAGTGTTCGA